GAATACCAGATTTATTTAAGAGAAAAAAAACAGCATGGTTTGGATGTTTTTGTTCTCCCCTCCTTCATCCTCCTGCTGCTCAATACCACATGGCCAACCATATCCTGGTCTTTGAGATCCTATGAAATTTATTAAGGTTCTGTCTAGATCCTTGATTGTCTGGTGTCACTATTCCCCCATTGCTTCCTCCTCGTCCTCCTCCTCTGTCCAGCTCAGATCATCTGAGTCCTCAGATTCTTCCTCATCCATCTCTAACCCAACCCCTGCCTTAGCCTTCTCAGCTAGTGCATCAGGGTGCTCCAGCTGGGCCCAGGATCCTGGGTCAGCCTTCACCAGAGAGATTTCAACCCGAGATGGCATCAAGGAGACAGAGCTCAGCTCCACGTTTATGACCTGAGGAAGAGGGGAAAGATAGAGGAACAGGGGAAAAAGAGAAAATGAAGAAATCAACGGGGTTAGGGTCAGGGTCAGGTGGTGATAAATAACAGGGAGAAAATAAAAATGTAAGGCGGGGAAAAGATGGAGGAATAAGACAACATAGTAATGGAGAGAAGAAAAAAGAGAAAGGGAATAGGGAAGAGGGGAAAAAAAGAAGGGAAAGGGAGAGAATATAAAAGCAAATGAAGAGAAAACCTCCACTTTTTCCCATTATAACTCCTCCCCCCTCAAGACACCCTCTATTCATTGCAGTCTGGACCTTCTTTTCATCCCATCTGCCCTCCCTCCTGTGCTCCCTTATCTTCACTTACCCCCCAGAGCTTCATCTGTGCTTGGAACACACGGTTACCATCAAAAACAATGTTGACATGAAGCTGAGAGAAAAGAATTATAGGGGTAGTAACAATCCAGAAGGTCAGAACAGATCATTATAACACTGAACCAGAGGTGTGATCCATACATCCACAGGTTAGTCAGATAACCCTGACCCAATATCACTACCTTCCTCTCAGGGGACTACAGAGTCTACATTTTAACTCCATAAAGTAACACTGTCTGTGAAATTGTAATAACACCCAATTCACTAGCCTCCAATTCAGCATAAGACATTCCTTACCTCAGTTTGACTGGCCTTCACCCAGTTGAATGCAGGAAGTGGAATCTGGCCATACACAGTCACCACTACTAAGGAATCTGTCTGGTGCCAGTCATGACGGCAAGATGCTGGTAGCTAAAAATATGAAATGTCAGTGGTAAAAATGTATGCTTAACCCAAGAGTTCTCATGGTTTGAATGGAGAAGAGACAGAGTTTCAAAAAGATTAACAACAACTCATATTTACTGCAAAGCTTCTGGGTTGTTGAGGGATAAGGAATATAATCTTATTTGGTCCATAGAAAGGGAGATTGAGACTTTGCTATGAATTATGGGGAGAAGAAATTATTTCTGGAATTGGCTTCTAATCAAGAGTTCAGGGAAGTTGGAGCTTACCTGCTTCCCCCAGTCATGTCTACCAACTCTGCATCCTGGCTGTGCCAGGAAGGCCCCAAAATCCAGGGTCTGGATGCCACAACAGCTCCAAGACTTCATCCTGAAGTAGGAAGACAATTCAACTGAATCCCTTTCCATTCCCACAAGCTCCTACTCCCATCTATGTTCAACATTGGGAGAAACCTCTCTCACAGCCCACCTAGTACCCTCCCTCACCCCTCATGGAATCGAGGTGCTCCTGGGTGGTAGGTACATGGAGTAACATCACTCTCAGGGCCTTGGTAAACCTAAGACAGATCAAGGAGAAAGGAAAGGAATCAGCTCATTCTAAAGTGTACTTCATGCAACTTCATATCTACACCTAATCATCTCTTGGGTATAGTATCCCTCAGCCACAAGCTTGAGCCCTCATAAACTCTCACTCACAGCGTCACATCCTGGGTTCTGGCAGCTGGAACCAGTCTGGATCAGACTACTGTCAAGTCCTGGGCAAGGGAGGAAAATAGAATTAGGAACCTATCTTTTATTTATTATTTTTAAAATATATTTTATTGATTTTTTACAGAGAGGACGAGAGAGGGATAGTTAGAAACATCGATGAGAGAGAATCATGGATCAGCTGCCTCTTGCACACCCCCTACTGGGGATGTGCCCGCAACCAAGGTACATGCCCTCGACTGGAATCAAACCTGAGACCTTTCAGTCCGCAGGCTGATGCTCTATCCACTGAGCCAAACCAGTTTTGGCTATCTTTTATTTTAAAATACATTTCTATTGATTTTAGAGAGGTCCAAAACACGTTTCTATTGATTTTAGAGAGGTCCACAATTAGAGGAAGAGATAGGAACATCAGAGATGAAAGAGAATCACTGATTGGCTGCCTCCTGCATGCCACTACTGGGGATTGAGCCCTAAACCGTGCTTCTGTCCTGACCAGGAATTGAACCAGTAACTTCTTGGTTTATGGGTCAATGCTCAACTGCTAAGCCACACCAGCTGGGCAGTCAGAAACCTATCCATTACATCCACCTAACTGCCACTTTCACTAAATTCCAGTTTGTGAGGTCTGTCCAACGAAGGACCCACTTACCTGCTCCAGATTCCTGGTCTAATTCCTTTTTTTCCAATGCCATTTCCAGGGCTTGGGATATATTTAGTGGAAGCAGCTTTGGAGGCAACTCTGACCTAGGGGGTAAGGGTGGGGTAATTTAATTCTGACTCATTAACCATGATCGACAGCTCCAACACTCCCACCAGTTCTAATGGAACCCAAGAAGACTGATGAAATTGAGGTCAGGGTTGGAGAAGTTGCATAGAAACCCCATTGCCAATTTCTCTATGGACATCCCAAATCCCTGACCGTGGGGAAATCACCAAGACTTATCTTGCTCATCTACTCCGTTGCTTTAAATCCACATTTCTCTGTAGGAACATACCATTTCCCCTTCCTCTAATTGTGGACCTAATATGACTTTCTTCTAGTTCCACAAAATTAACTTAATCTTCTCTGCAGTCTCCTGACTGCCAATTCTACTACATCCTTTTCTTGATGTAAACCTATTTTAAAGATCTTTTCCAAAAAAAAAAAAATCAAGATTTTTCCAATTACCCCTTGTATTATAAATATGTATTCATGAGGGGCTATCTGCCCTGTTAACTCAAATACCCATCTATCACCCATATCACCTTACAGTAAGGGACATTATTTCTGGATAGATTTCCCTTATGGCACAACATATATACACTAAGCCCTGACATCTGGCCCTCCTCACATCTCTGTGCGCTAGCTTCCAAACTCCAATGACCCTAAACTCCATGAATATAGAAAAAACCCTGGGATCTCCTTTTAAGAACATTTTTATTGATTTCATAGAGGAAGGGAGATATAGAAACATTAATGATGAGAATCATTGATTGGCGGCCTCCTGCATGCCCCCTATTGGGGATCCAGCCTGCAATCTGGGCATGTGCCCTTGACTGAAATCAAACCCAGGACCCTTCAGTCTGCAGATTGATGCTCTATCCACTGAGCCAAACCAGCTAGGATTGGGACCTCATCTTTACTTGGGCCTTTCCCGGCGCAAAGTCTCTGCTGATTTTGGGATCGTAGTCAGTTTTTGCTCCTGAAATGAACTGCTTGTGCCAGGGCCCTCAGGTTGAGGGGCTTCAGGGAGCTTCTCAGCACAGTGTGGTCCCACAGTACAGCCCTAATACAGATAAAGAGAGGAGGATTAGAGATAGAATCTTTCTATTAGGGGCAGAAGCTAAGTAAAGAATTTACCTTGATGTTTAAGAACTCAGAGAAATCTACAGTTCGCTTCCGGCAACAGGACCAACCCTGATGAGACCAAGTTCAGTTTAGATTCCTGAGTGTATTTCCTTTGGGGAATGTTCTTGCTTTCCCCCCACTTTACCTCACCTTAAGTGCATCATGGAAGATTGGGATCCCAGTGTGATGGCAACAGGAATCTGTGGATATTGGTAGAAAGATCAAAAAAGGAAACTATACCAGATGTCACTTACCTCTTCCACAGGCCTGTATGCTTTGGTTTTTCCATATAATTTTTTTTAAAAAATGTGTTTTATTGATTTTTTTAGAGAGGAAGAGGGATAGAGTTGGAAACATCAATCACCTGCCTCTTGCACACTCCCTACTGGGAATGTGCCCACAACCAAGGTACATACCCTCAACCAGGATCCAACCTGGGACCCTTCAGTCCGCAGGCCGACGCTCTTATCTACTGAGCCAAACCGGTTAGGGCTTTTGATATAATTTTTAAAAGCCCAGTCAAGATTGAAGACTGCCCAGACCAATTAAAGTAGGGAAAGTACTAAATTTCTTTCTACTCCGTTAAGACTATCCACAGATGACCATTCCCCAGGATCCGGATCCCCCTGGTAAGACCAGGATTACTCACCAGGAAGATTGGTATTGGGGTCAAAGTGCTGCCCACAGCCTTTGTTATGGCAGAGAAGAGACATGGAAGCGTTGGTAGAATTACTGAAAGGGTATTTCAAGGAGTCTGGCTGCCGAATGGGGAACTCCTCTTAGTCTGGAAGCTTTTAGCTGCCTGGAAGGGCCAGCTGTGTCTATCTTTAGTTCAGGAGGCGTACACCTCCTAACATGGGCAAGGGAACTTCAATTGGTCTTCCCAGCCAATAGGAAAGAGCTCAGGAGCATTTTAGCTCTGAGGCTCAAGAAAAGGATTATGCAGAGTAGGGTTTGGAACTTGGGCGAGGTCAGCTAATCACGGCTGAGACTGTTTTAGATTTACCATACCATGCCAATTCTAAGCCTCAAGACATATTAGCAGCTGCTCAGAAACATATACCAATTTGAGACCCCTCCCAATGAGAATACCCCAATCCCCCAGCCCATTTTCTTTCAAAGCTTTCCTCCCATTCTTATTACTTCTGTGTACCGACAACACAGATCTTTTGTCAACCACTTCAGCCATAGTATGCATCCAATCCCCATGTTTGTCACATGGATACTTTATAAAACCTACTGATCATCTCCTGAGACAACACCCCTCCCTCCCTTCCCCTTCAAAAATAGCACAGAAAATGAAAAGGATTAAAATGTATTTTAATAAGTTGATGCTGCATTACTGCTTCATTTTCAGAAAAAAACTCCGAAGGGATCAGGAACAAATCAAACATGGTACACCAATAAAAAATAAAGCATAGCATAACTACTTAAGATAGGCAATGCTAAGAGCTACTGCTGGACATTCATACAGCAACCCTGTTCCAAGGTTATTAGGCCTATCAAGAAAAGCTGTGAACAGCAATATCGGACACAAAAGGGCCATTCCTGGGTTGTCCTTACCCAAGAAAAAGATGGAGGCAACACAAGATTTTTCTTTTTTTTTAAAAGATACACTAAAATGAAAATCTCTAAGAGAAAAATGTATTCCTTAGGGTATGAAGAGATAATATATGGGGTATAACAGAACCGTATGTATGTTATGTTATCTGTGACCTCTGCAGACATTTGCCTGAATTCCCACCTGGGAGTGAATAAAGTAATGGAGGATGTTTGTGGTTTTTGTGGTACATGTGGCAGTGTCTCCGGGGTCAGGAAATTTAAGAATGAGAATTCAAATAGAACAGGATAAACAGAATGGAATGATCAAGATTCATGGGGGCTCTAACGGGATCCACTTTGCCATTGCTCCCCACCCCTGGCCTTCAATAATTGAGACTTCAAGAATGCACCACACAGACATGATTCAACAATATACCACACAGAAATGTTTTAAATATCACCCCTCCCTTGACCTCTGTCTCCAGTATACTCCCTAGAGTAGTACAGGCAGGGAAGATCTAACTATTGGGAGAAATCCCTAACACTTTTCCAGGGTAGAATTCTGGCTAGTCCAAAAAGGGTCCTTCTCTTAAGGGTTTTGGGAATCTAGACACTGCAATTTTATTAGTATCGGCGACGTTTGTTTGGAGCAAAATCAGCTCCAGGAGCTGCACGGTTGAATGCAGGAGGGGTTCCACCAATTGCCCCTATTCCTTCCATTGCAGCAGCTTGGCCAAAGCGTTCGGTAGTTGGTGGGGTCTTAAAGAGAAAAAGAGAGCAACATTACAAAAATAACCTATGTCCTAAGCTTCCCACCAATCTGTAGTCCCTCCCCTGGAGGCCATTTCCACCCCATTTTTCAAGGGTCCTGATGCTGGGGATGCCTGATCGTATTTAAAACTCTAGTTGAGCCTGGCTGGCATGGCTCATGCCTGAACAGTGACCTATGAACCAGGTCACAGTTAGATTCCTGGTCAAGGCACATGCCTGGGTTGTGGGGCTCCATCCCCATTGTGGGGCGTACAGGAGGCAGCCCATCAACGATTCTCTCTCCTCACTGACCTTTCTCTCTCTTCCTGTCTGAAATCAATGAACAATGAAAAGAAAAAAAAGAAAAAACCAAAAAAAAAAAAAAAAAAACCCCACTAGTGGATAGCCCAGCAGGAGTACACAGTGGTTGTGTCAACCTATGAACCAAGAGGTCACTGTTCAATTCGTAGGTTGTGGGCTTGATCCTGTGTGGGGTGTGCAGGAGGCAGCCAATCGATGAGTCTCTCATCATTGATGTATCTCTCTCTCTCTCCTTCTCCCTTCCTGTCTGAAATCAACAACAAAACACATTAAAAAAAAAAAACAACACACAAAACACACAAAGACTAGTGGATAGATGTCCCTGAAAGGTTACCTGAATTATGGACCTACGCCAACCATCCCACCTTTAATTTTTTATCCCTATTATTTCTCCTTCCTTTTAATCCCTATTCTTATTAGCTAAGCAATATTGCATACTAAATTTCTCAGATGGTTAAGTTCTACTTATGTCCTTTTTGATGAACTAGGTACATGGACAAGGGCAGGCCATCACTTTCAAGTAACCTGAAAACTATCCAGTTTTAACATTTTGATATAAGAACTAAAATCACCTCAGGATTGTATGGACCATAAAGTATATTTTGACACTTGGTTTTCTCAGGAGTCCAAAATAAAGATCTTGAGGTTTCATTGGGTAACAGTGGTTCTAATACTGTCATCTGTAGCAAAATTATGGCAAGTCAAGGGATTATGGAAGCAAAGTCCTTTCTCCTCCCATCACCATTCAGGGTTACTATTAAGACCCTGCAGTTATTACCAATCCCAAGGTTCCATCTGGCATCATAGTGGCAGGTCCTGGAGGAGCTGGGGTACCAGCAGGCACAGGAGCAGGGGGCATGGCACCTCTGTTGTTTATGCCCATAGCACCTAAAGCAGAGCAGTGTGATCAGTACAGGAGAAAGATATCATCTGTCTCTTTCCGTTCTAAAGGAAATAATTCAACAAGACCTTTGTGCTAAGACATGTTACCCCACCCCCCAAAAAATATGCTCCCAGAAATGTGAATTCCTTAAATCCAGACTATCTAAAATAAGCTACATAGCTCACCAGAGACAAGACAAGAAAGGAAATCAGAGCCATTAATCTCCTGAGTCCTTACCTCCCATAGCCATCTGGCCCATCCGTATCTCCTGCTCTCTCTGAAAAATAAAAAAACACTAAAGACAGTCTAAGACAGCACTGCATTCTCCCACAATCCATTGAAGACCACACACTAAGGAAAGTATAGTGATAACACATCCCAAATACACTGAGACCAAGCTGAGGAACAACAACAATAGTTTTTCACTAGTTGTACAGTGAGTTCAAGATCAGAGCTACTAGGACAGTCTCCTATTAGGTACAAGAGAGTTATGAAAGGAAAGGGGAAAGATAGTCAATTTTTTTTCTATAGCTCCAACCTGTACAACTTTAAGGACAGCAATGGACTAGTCAAGGCTGCTACAGAACTGGATATATCTCATCCTACAGTCACTGAGTCTAAACAGCATATACTGGTCCCAGCTTTTCACTCTAAATAGCCCGTGAGGCAAAAAGAGCTCTCCTTCAAACCTTACCTTTCCTTCCTATGAATTATTTCTAAAAGGAGTTTCACAAAATGGAAAAATTGATCATAACCTGGTATGTTGTATAGTCCTAGTGGGCAGACAATTCATGATGGGTTTGTCATATCACGACTGGACTGGTACATCATGGGCACAAAGGAGATATACCGCATCAGGGAAGGTTCCCTTGAATCCTTCCTGCTGTCGCCGCATCATTTCTTCCTGCTGTCGCCTCATCTCTTCCTCACGGCGCCTGCGCTCTTCCTCCTGCCTACAGAGTCACCAAGGTATATAAGCAGAGGTATTGTAGAACTTAAGCCAATTACCTTAATAGGGGACTCAGTCAAGAGGATTAAGAGCCTACTAAAGTCCTAGCCAGTTTGGCTCAGTGGATAGAATGTCAGCCTGTGGACAGAAGGGTCGTGGGTTTGATTCTGGTCAAGGGCATATGCCTGGGTTGTGGGCTCAATCCCCAGTAGGGGGCATGCAGGAGGCAGCTGATCAATGATTCTCATCACTGATGTTTCTATCTCACTCCCTCCCTCTCCCTTCCTCTCTGAAATCAATAAAAACATATATATATATATATATATATATATATATATATATATATATATATATTTTTTTTTTTTTTTTTTTTTTTAAAAGAGCCGACTGAAAACTATCATAGCTCTCCAGGAAGCTCAATGTTAAATATGCCCAGCCCTAAAGCAACCCAGATGGAAAGAAGTTATTTCTCAAAGGAGCCTCATGAGACCAGCCCTCAGCTAATTTTTCTTTAGTGTAGCCCTGGGTAATTCCCAGAACCACTGGCAGCTGAAACATCTCCGATCCAAAGGGAGAACTTCAGAAACAGCCAAGAAATGTTTGCCAACATATTTACAAATAGTAGGAAGCAGGAGTGAGACATTGTGAGAGAAAAAAGTGTTGAGAAGAGTTACCTGAGCTCCAGTTGCTTTCGTTTTTGCACTTCTTGGTTGTGCAGCTCTTCCATCCTCCTAAGTTCTTCTTGACGCCTCATCAAATCTAGAAAAACAACAGACTTGATTGAGAGTATCCTTCATTCTCCTCAATGGGCCCAATAATTTTCTATAATTAAAGATCCAGAAAGCAAAGTGGATATATAATCCCAGTGGCCATCTGAGGTATCCCGATTCCAAAAATTCAGCTAAACCTATTATTTCCTTTTCCTCAGAATCCAGTATTCTCTGCCACATCTCCAAGCTCATTTGCCTAACAAAGATCAGCAAGATATTTTAGAGGATAAAAGTAGAAATTTAGGCCTTTTTCTACTGATTAATACTAAGAAACTTGGGAAAAACTTATTCTTTTAGTTTTAAGACTTAGAGGCCTGTACTCACCCTGCCTCATTAGCATGACCTGGTGCTCATGGCGAGCAGCCTCCATCTCCATCTCCAGCTTCTCACGAGCTTCCTTGATGTTGCGGTCCACTTGGTCCTGCTGCTGTTTCTCCATCTCAATGAGTGCCTTCCAGCGCATGGCATATTCATACTCAAAGGAGCCAGGCTGTGCAAATCTAGGTGGCTGCTCCCTCTCCCTAAAGACAAGGTTCCTGGGTTACTACAATTCTGTCTAAAATGCCAATTAAGCAATGTATTCCCCGAGTGCCAAGATAATGGCTGCTAGTAAATACATATAACAAAGACCTGTCTCTTTTACACATCCCTTTACAGGCTTCCTTAAGAACAAGCAAACAGCTAACAGGTAATCTGTAATGACAACATACTTGTGAAATTGCTGGTTTTTTATAACCAGCTTCTCTGGAAGTCCTTCTTCATCATCTAACTGGTCCATGGGCTCCACAGTCACAGGTCGAGGAAATCTGGGAAAAAGAAAGATCAAATTATACCCTTCACTAGGCTTGCTCTCTTCACCTGCCACTGACACATGAACTACTTTTAGGGGTCAGGACAAGACAATTAAACTTATGAAGGAGTTTTATACCCAGTCCAAGTAACCAATTCCATTTAATGGCATTATGTGAAAATGTGAAATCTGGGTTTGATAGAATCAAGTCAGGCTTCAGATCTCTGAATACAGCCTTTAAAAAGATGTTCAGCCTGGCTAGTATAGCTCCATGGTTGAACATCAACCCATGAACTAAGAGGTCACCAGTTCGATTTCTGGTGAGGGCACATGCCTGGGTTACAGGGTTGATTCCCCAGTGGGGATTGTGTGGGAGGCAGCCGATTGATGTTTCTCTTTCTCCATCCCTCTTCCTTACTCTCTACAATCAATAGAAACATAATTACTTAAGTGCAGCCTAAATATGTATTATCTAAAGAACTCCAGACAATTTGGGATAAATTCTAAGATATTGCGTGCTTTTCAGAGTTATAAAACTTCAAAGGGGAGACTTAACACTGATTAAATATCTCACTGAAGGAATGAAAAAATTTAACATAAAAAATATATATCCTGCCCTAGCTGGTTTGGCTCAGTGGATAGAGCATTGGCCTGTGGACTCAAAGGTTCTGGTTTCAATTATGGTCAAGGGCACATGGGGTACATGCCCGGGTTGCAGGCTCGATCCCCAGTAGGAAGCATGCTGGAGGTAGCCAATCAATGACTTTCTCATCACCGATGTTTCTCTTTTTCCCTATCCCTTCCTCTCTGAAATCAATAAAAATATATTTAAAAAATCCTCACTTAAGGGTATTTTATTGATTTTAGAGAGAAAGAGGGAGACAGAGACAGAAATATTGACATGAGAACCATTTGACTGCCACCCGCATATACCCCAACCAGGGAAACCTGCAACATTCTGGTGTACGGGATGTTTTTTAATCCTCCAACTATACTTGTTAATTTAAGATTATGTTAACAACTCTACTAGCCCAGGCGGCATGTCTCAGTGGTTGACATCAATCAGGTCACAGTTCAATTCCCGGCCAGGGCACATGCCCTGGTTGTGGGCTCAATGCCCAGTGTGGGGTGTGCAGGACGCAGCCGATTAATTATTTTTTCTAATCATCGATGTTTCTCTCTCTCCCTCTTGCTTCCTCTCTGAAATCAATAAAAATGAATAAAAAAACTTACTAGAAAGCTGAACTAGTATGAACAGTATTTAAATGAGCACAGGAATAGGGTTTCTAAAGGCTAACTTCCCAGATAACAATGGGCCCTCACTCACGTGGTTAGCAGGAAGGAACCTTCACTGCATCTGTCCAGAGCTTTCCGAGCAGCTGGCTTCCCTGAGAATTCAACAATGCCTTTTCCTGAGGGCCTTCCTCGGTCATCCACAATGACTACGGCCCTCTCCACCTGGCCGAACACAGAAAAAGCTTCCTCCAGCAGTTCGTTGGACACATACTGAGGCAGGTTTCGGACTGTAAGAGATGCACTATGGCAGGCAAAGCGCACACGCAGCTGCTTTCCACGGAGTGGCATGTTGTCCAGCTCTACTTTAGCAATCTCTGCTAGGGTTCGTGTTTCCTACAAAGCAGAGAGAAATTAGAATAACTCAGCTTAACAGACCACCAACTACACAGCTATAAAGAGTTTAAAGTAGCACCTGGCTGGCGTGGCTCAATGGTTGAGCCTTGACCCATGAACCAGGAAGTCATGGTTCATTTCCTGATGAGGGTACATGCCCAGGTAGAGGGCTCGATTCCAAGTGTGGGGCATGCAGGAGGCAGCCAATCAATGATTCTCTCTCATCATTGATGTTTCTATCTCTCTCTCAAATCAATAAAATATATTTGTTTCTAACTCTCTATCCCTCTCTGAAAAATATCTGGCCAGTGTATATCCTATATAATAAAAGGCTAATATGCAAATTGTCCTCTCAACCAGCAGGCAGGCTGCCAACCGCCCATGTCCCCTTCCCCTGGCCAGATCCCACCTATGCAGGAATTCATGCACTGGGCCTCTATATATTAGAAGCCTGATGCACAAAATTCGTGTAAGAGGCTTGGCCCTTACAGCCCCGGCTTCATCCAGAAGGTTGTCTGGACGGTTATTCTGCTGTTCAATCTAATTAGCATATTAGCTATTACATAGGACACATACACACACACTGAGTAGCCAGATTATTATGCGTTCAGAGATCATAATAATCTGGCCACTCAGTGTATATTAAAAAAAACACACACACACACACAAAAAAAACACACAAGGTAGAAACCGTTTGGCTCAGTGGATAGAGTGTTGGCCTGCGGACTGAAGGGTCCTGGGTTCAATTCCGGTCAAGGGCATGTATTCTGGTTGCGGGCACATCCCTAGTGGGGGGTGTGCAGGAGGCAGCTGATCTGTTTTCCTCACCGATGTTTCTAACTTTCTAACCCTCTTCCTTCCTCTCTGTGAAAAATCAATAAAATATATATATATATATATATATATATATATATATATATATATATTAAAAAAAAAAAAAAAAACACAAGGAGCTTGACAACAGCATATAAAGAAGCATGGATAGGACTGAATTGTGTGTGTTTCAGATCACTCTTTGGTTAGCCTAACTGTTCTGATGACCTTGAAAAACCAATTGGAAATCCTAACTTACATGGTATCAGTATCACAGGTTATTCTGCCAAGGGTAACATATCATCTGGACAATGATCAGCATAAAACCTACCCTTACAATACAGGAGAGCTAGAATATTTAAATTTCAGCTAGCTACAAACAACTTAACCAGAATCTCTTATGTCCTCCAAGAGACCTCTTTAGAACCACGAACCTTGATTGGACCCCCTTCATATTACTAAAGAGGAATCTGAGCCCCAGAGAAAATGAGTTGCCTTGAGCGAGTGGTACACCCGGAAGGAATACTAGTTCTGATCACATCAAGTTCCTCATTTATGGAGATAAGTAAAAAAAAAATATATATTAAAAATACATTTTAAAAAATAATTAAGATAATAAATTTTGTTATGTTTATTTTAGCACAATTAAACTTTAAAAAATGTACACAGCTCTGACCGATGTGGCTCAGTTGGTTTAGCATCATCCGGCGAACTGAAAGGCTGCCAGTTTGATTGCTGGTCAGGACACATGTCCAGGTTGCTGGTTGGATTCATGGTCAGGGTGTGTGTGGGAGGCAACTGACTGATATTTCTCTCTCTCTCTCTCCCTTCTACTCTCTTTCAAACCCAATAAAACAATATTTTTAAGAAATCTCTGAGGAAAAAATTTTAAATCTGCATTTTTTGTCCTATTCCATCAACTACAACTACAAGCTTTTAGTAGACCACCTGAGAATTATTTACTGCCTTATTTTCCATATACATCACTTCCCAGCTTCCCCACCTTTGTTCTATAAGCTTACAGTTGCTTACCAAGCGGATAAAGCCAAAGCCCTTATCCTTATGAATGAAGACTTCGCCTGCCTTTCCATATTTCTCAAATAATTTCCTCATTTCCTCCTCAGTGATGTCAGGAGGAAGATTGCCCACAAAGAGCCGGCTACGTTGGGTGAAGGTCTTCTCTCCTGGTTTCCTAAAATTCTTCAGGTCAATAGTCAAGCCTTCATCTGAGAGAAGACAAGAGATTTACAGTCATTAGGAAACCTAATTGCTATAGAAAAGCCAAACACCATTTCCCAATGCAATCTATCCACTAACCACTTATCACTAAATTGCACCTTAGAATATGAAAGCAGTATACATATATTGGGGGGTGGGGGTGGCTACTGTGGGCCAGGAACCAACTTAGACTAAATCAAAGGCAGAAAGACAATACAGGAGCTATTGGCCAAAGAGAAAATTAAGCAAGTCAAGGAACTCTATGTAAGAAGGGACAGATTTTTGAAGTATAAAGCACAGTTGTTCCATTTCCCAATCTCACTCATCTTCATAACCTTACAGTTCCCATTCTCTCAGGCTTGGGGAATAACAGAATAAAAAGAAATTAGGTAGGCTCTAGCCAGTTTGGCTCAGTGGATAGAGCGTCAGCCTACAGACTGAAGGATCCTGGGTTCGATTCCGGTCAAAGGCACATGCATGGGTTGTGGGCTTGATCCCCAGTAGGGGGCGTGCAAGAGACAGCCAATTAATGATTCCCCCTCATCATTGATGTTTCTATCTCTCCCTTTCCCTTCCTCTCTGCAATCAATAAAAATATCTTTAAAAAAAGAAATGAGTTAGAAAAAAGTATTCTTTGTGAAATCTCAGAAAATTAAAAAGGTTTGAAGTAGGTTTTACTCCCCCATCCCCACCCAGCCGCCCAAAACCATTTAGTCCCTCCATGCCCTTTCCCACCTCCACCCTCTGCCACAATCACAGCATCGTTGTCCATGTCTGAGTTCTCCCCCACCCCCTTTTAGGTTTTAGAGGCACACAACAGGCATTCAAAGTTTGCTGAACAAATGGAAACATACCTTTAAAGACTTTTCACTGATTTCAAATGGGCTGGCACAGGCCCCAGGCTAAAGTGTAATAATACTCAGTACCAGACTACTTCTCCATTAAGTCTTAAAGACTTGTTCTATATGTTCCCTAATTATCAATCATCTGATTACTTCTAGGAAACCAAGCTTTGAGGCAAAACATGCAGACATGTTTAGCCAACACAGCAAAGCAACCTATACTCAACTGCTATCCCTACATGCCTGCTCCTTGGTTTCAGAGAATCAGCCTTTTTCTATCTTAAGTATTAAGAGGTAAACAGAACAAAGACTTATTCCTTTATAATCCCAAAAGACTCATCTAAAAATCAAGAACCCAGCCCTAGCCGGTTTGGCTCAGTGGATAGAGTGTCAGCCTGTGGATTGAAGGGTCTTGGTTCAATTCTGATCAAGGGCACATGCCTGGGTTGCAGGGTCGATCCCTAGTAAGGGGCATGCGGGAGGCAGCTGATTGATGTTTCTCTCTCATCGATGTTTCTGACTCTCTATCCCTCTCCCTTCCTCTGTAAAAAAAAAAAAAAAAAAGGAAAAAAAAATCAATGAAACAGTTATATATATATATATATATATATATATATATATATATATATATAATACACACACACACACACACACACACATATATATATAATATATTTTAAAAACCAAAACCCCATTCCTAAGAGGGAACCTATATCAACCCCATTACTTAGCATGCACTCACTTTGGCTGCTGGCTTGTTGGCCATTTGCAGGTACTGCTGACGGCGGTGGCTGCTGCTGTTGCTGGTGGTGCTGCTGGTGGTGATGCTGATGATGCTTTCTTGGAGCATGGTTTTGTTTCTCCAAGTTAAAGGTTTTATTGCTCTGCATATTTTGTACCCTAAGAAGAAAATGTGGACAAATACATTCAGTGCTAAGAATGCAGTCACCTTCCTGATGAATCATATTGTTTGTCATCAATCATCATTGGTATCCTGACTTTTGCCAGATCCTAAAAACTGGTTATTTTGAGCAAGTATGGCAAAGGAATACAATTCAGAAATATAAAACAACCGTGCATTAGCAGTTATGTGGCATACAGAAACTGGACAAGAATCAGACAAGAACAGCTTGCAGTAGAATGACCTGAGGAACAATAATTTTACATATAATAGGAAACTACTTTTCCAAACAGATCTACCCCTTAACTGTTAGCCCTATTATAAAATTATTAAAGCACATTTTAAAAACACGACTGCCCTAGCCCGTTTGGGCAACAGGGGCTGCAGCGGGAAGGGCTGGGTGGTGGTGTGAAGGATGGGCCAAGACCCGCCCCCCCTGTGCCCACTGTAACCTCAAGGCCCACAGTTCCTTTCAAGGTGCATGAAGTCATGCACTGGGACCCTAGTGTAAACATAAAATGTTAAATTCTGTCATCTAAAAATTAAAGTAAGATTAAAAGAAAACAAAATGAAAATTTCTGGCATAATCCATAAATTGGCAGTTGATGGTTTTAAACTGACATCCAAGGACAATTCTTCAGTTAATGAAATAAAAGGGCAGAGTTAATTCTAAACACAAGACCCTGTAGGCAGAATTTAGCTGAAGGAACGATACAAAAAAACCTTATGGTGAATACATCATATGATACCTTTAAAACAGTGCAAGCTACATTTTAGATGAAGAAAATAACTTAATTTTTGGATAATGGACATATAAGAATACTTTCCTGTGCATAAAAATCCTTAATATATTTTATATCATATCCCACCAAAACTGGGAACTTCATTGCAATTATTAAATACTATATCCAAAAGTTGTTTCACAAGACAATAGGTAACAAGAACTATCAAAATGTTCATATTCTTTAACTCAGGAATTCTGTTCCTAGAAATTCATCCTAAGAATTTTTTAAAATTTTAAAATCACACCCATGAAATATTCACTGCAATGGTGTTTATGGACAATAAAAATGGTAAATAATAAAAAATGACTCATGTATCCAAAACCAGAGGCCTAATTTTTTTTTTAATATATTTTGATTTTTTACAGAGAGGTAGAGTTAGAAGCATCAATGAGTCATTGATCAGCTGCCTCTTGCACGCCCCCTGCTGGGGATGTGCCCGCAAACGAGGTACATGCCCTTGACTGGAATTGAACCCCGTACCTTTCAGTCTGTAGGCCGACACTCTATCCACTGAGCCAAACCGGTTTCGGCTCAGAGGTCTAGTTTTTAATTATGATACATCTATACAATGGAATGTTACACAGAGTTAAAATTTATGAAGACCATGTAAGCATGAAAAATTTATACTTTAAGAGGGAAAGGGCCGAAACCGGTTTGGCTCAATGAATAGAGTGTCGGCCTACAGACTGAAAGGTACGGGATTCGATTCTGGTCAAGGGCATGTACCTCGGTTGCGGGCACATCCCCAGTAGGGGGTGTGCAGGAGGCAGCTGATTGATGCTTCTCTCTCATCAATGTTTCTAACTCTCTATTTCTCTCCCTTCCTCTCTGTAAGAAATAAAATATATTTTAAAAAAGACGGAAAGGGTTTTTTAAATTCATAAATGTAGGTAACAGAAGGTAGGCAAAAATAAAAACTGTCCTGCTTGTTATAGATTATTGATGATTTTTTCCTTTGTTTTTATTTATTATTTTTTATTAAATTATTATCTGTGTACATGTCTTACCATTCTCCCCCCTCCTATACATACCCTCCCCCCCCCCCCAGAGTTTTGTTCCATTGGTTGTACTTATATGCATGTATGCAAGACCTTCGGTTGATCTCTTATCTCCCCCAGATCTCCCTACCCTGCCCGCTGTAATTTGACAGTCTGCTTGTTGCTTTACTGTCTCTATATCTACCTTTTGGTTCATCAGTTTATAATATTCTTTATTATCCATAAATGAGTGAGGTCATGTGGTGTTTCTCTTACTGATTTTTTTTTTTTACTATTTTTTCTTTATTAAATCAATCATTCAACAAATAAATATTCACTGGATGCCAACTATTTGCCAGGCACTATTCTAGGTGCTTGGGATGCATTGATGAACAAAGCAAATATTCTTGCCTTCTGGGTCCTTACCTTCTAGTGAGACAAAACAATATACATATTAATTATATCACACAGTAGTTAAGAAGAGGTGTTACTGGAAAATAAAGGCGGGGGGGGGGGGGGGGAGAGGCAAAATAGATAGGAAGTAGAAGGTAGTAATTTTAAATAGAGCTGTGAGGTAACATGTCACTTGAAAGTTGGCATTTAAGCCCAGACTTGAATTTTCTCATTTATGTCAGTCATCAGTTTTATTTCTCATTAATAAGGCACCTATCACAAAATATCTGTTATAAAAAACTTAGATATAAAAACAAAAATAAATAAAAATCCAAAGACCCAGCACTAAAAAAATAGTTAACATTTTGGCATACCCTCCTAGTCAGATTTATATATTTGTAGGTAACTTTAAATAGAATACGATAAAAATTATTTTACAATGCCTTTTCTACTTTACGACACATGACTAAGTTTTCATGTTACTAAATCTTCTACATTGTTAATGCACAGTATTCAGCTGTCAACCAAGATACTATTGTGTTGGACATGTGTTGTTTCTAATTTTTCACCATTATAAATAACGCTCAAGCTAAAGCTTGGGGCATAACCCTGAGTAAATATTGCTGTTTCCATTTTTTAATTTTTTAGCTTTCAGAAAATACTATATTATGACTATAGTCATAATGCACTATTGTATATTCAGATTTTCCTCATCTCTATAGTGAACATAATTATAATTTTAAAAGCTACATAAAGCCCATATGGATTTACTAAACTACTCTCTACTATGAGACATTTAGGTTGTTTTCAATATTTTCCTATTATAACACTGCAGTAAATATCTTTGTGTTTGTAGCTTTCTGCTTAATTATTTCCTTAGGATAAAAATAGTATAACCGAATCTGTGACTCTTGCCACATAGGGAAGCATTGTTTTCTCAAAAAATTGTAATAGCTTTAAATGCCATGAATAGGTGTAGCAGTTTCACAGCAAATTGGTTCAGATTGCAGTCACCTCGGTTGCAGGCTAGCCTCCAACCCATCAGGGGGCGTGCGGGAGGTAACCAGTAGATGTGTCTCTCTCATATCAATGTTTCTGTCTCCCCCTCCCCCCTTCCACTCTCTCTAAGAATCAATGGGGGGAAAATATCCTGGGGGGGGGTTAGCAAAAAAATAAAAATTTTAAAAAAGGAAATCATTATTTTAAAATAAGATATATATAAAATAAAAGCATATAAAAGTTAAAGTCTACCCCAGCAACAGTTGGGAGCAGGTTTAAGTTGGGCATTAGAATCAGGTATTTTCCTATTTTATACTTTTTTCCCATAGATACTTTTTGAGTCCCAGCTATTAAACATCTCCCTTCCCTGACCTCAAAGTGGCCTACAACAGAAACCTGAATGATTTTCACAGCCTATTTTTCAAATAGGTCTATCTCTGGCTAGAGCCTAAGGACCCTCTTTTCCCCCCTCAGCCTTTAAGGCACTAGCCTCAGTACCTTGCATCCCATTAAGGAATCTACAACTTATAATTTACATGTTAATAGAAACCCTTAGAAATCCATTCAAAACTGAAATATTAAAAACTCTTATCTTTACATCTTACCCAAACCTCATCATTCCATTTCAAAAGGCCATTTTACAACTTTTTAATAGAAATGGCCTACCTTTTTGAGGATAAAGTTCTAAAATGTTCTAAACCATTTAATTTGAATTACTTCAAGGGAGGTTATTTTATTTTAAAAAATCTTTATTTTTAAAAGCATTACATGTCTCCCCCCGACCACTGACCTCTCTCAGCCCACTCCCACCCCCAACACAGGCCATCACTCTGCTACTATCAGTGTCTATTGGTTATGCTTATATGCATGCATACAAGTCCTTTGGTTGAACTCTTACCTCCTCTCTCCCCTTTCTTCCCTCTGAGGTTTGTTCATCAGTTTATGTTGTTCAAGGGAGGTTATTTATTTTATAAGTACAGTGTGGCAGTTAAGGTGATGATACAAAATATTGACCATTATGTCAGGCACTGTGCTAAGTCTGCATTATCTCCTTTAGTAATCACAATTATTATTATTCTGGATAAGAAAAATGATGCCCAGCCAAGGTCACATGGTGTGATGGAGCATGGAGTGGAGAATGCCATACTCACCTCTATACTACAGGCTTTGTAATTACTCATTTCCATTTCAGAGTTCCAAACAAGCCATGTTACCTAACTTGAGCCTTAATTTCCTCACCTGTAAGATGGAGATAACAATCCCTACTCTACAGGGCTGGTATTTTAAGGACTAAGTGAGGTAATGTACATAGTGGACACTTGTTCCTGCTGGAAGCCATTACCCTTATTTCTACATGTGGCAGGTGCTTCAATTAGACAAATGTCATTAATTACATTCTACCTCCTCTCTTCTCGATTCTAGCAAAAATCACTTGTATAACCAAATTCCATACCTTTGGGTTTTTAAATAAATGTCTCCATAATGCTCATCTTTATAATCTTCCCTTTCTGTTTGTTCTTTCCCAAGCAGGCATTCAATGGTGAAGACTATGTAATATTGTATAAATCCCTTAAAAGTGCCCACAGAGTAGCTAGGTACTCAGTAAATATTGTCCCTATCACCTACTTCTGATGATGACTACCAATATAATTTGGGAATATGTGCAGAAATCACTGGCCCCCTAACCATGGGGCCTCTGAGAAGAGAAAGTACAAAGATCAACAGCAAGGATTTCTATCTGCAAGACGAACCTTGATGAAGCACTTGAGAAAATATGTATTGCTGATTTAGAAAGCGGGGGCTACTGAGCATGAGATACAATTGCACAAGTGTTTAGATACAGGACCAAGTGCATTACTGTATCACATATCTGAAAACTAAGTAAATGTCCCCTTAATTTTCAGGATAAGGATCAACTTTTAAGTGTAAACATTCGGGAAATTTGGTTAAACTCTATCAGACCAAATGGCCGCCTGGATGTGAACCATCCTGAAAGCTGTAGAATGCACTAACATGGTAAGGTCCTTTTTTATTTTCTAAGAGTTTCTTAGGACCTTTCATTTGAAAACAAAGAAGTTGAACAAAGACAGTAAAAATCTAACCAGTGTATTCCGATTTGGCAGATTTATCAAATAAAAATACACAACATAGTAAAATTTGAATTTGCGACTAGAAATGGCTTATTTGTATGGAAGTCCCATGAAACATACTAAAAAATAATTCGTTGTGTGTGTCAAATTCAAATTTAACACGGCGTCCTATATTTTATCTGGCTACCCTACACCTACCTCAACCTAGATTTAAGATACAAAGTGCCTCCCGGTCTTCTCTAACCTTGACCTCTCTGTTAAGAACACAAAGAAAAGTGTCACCTTACGACAATCGTTTCTCCGAGTGGAAAATAGCCGACAAAAAAAAAAATCCATCAAATTAAGTTTCATTTTTTAAAAGTGATGCTACACGTGGTTGAGCAGCTGGCAACAAGACTAAAAGTAAGGGCACACAGGAACCTGAGGAAGAAAGCGGAGGGGTTTGGACGAACGGATGAACTTTCCAGCTCAGAGTTCTGACAAAGAAACATCGCTCGGGGTGCCCCAGTGGCTCATTCGGAATTCATGGCCTCGCGAGGCCGAGGGGAGGAGCGCCCTCCAAAGCGCCTCCTCCTCCTGCCGCGACTCCGAGACTCCGAGATGATAGACCCCACACCCTCAGGCCCAGGGCAGCTCCATGGCCCAGGAACTCACTGACAGGGCTAAGATCCCAGGCCCCGCCGCACAAAGAAAGGCGGCGGGAGAGGAAGCGGGAGTGCGGTTTGACTGTGAGAGGCCCCCCCCACCGCCCCGCGCGCGGGTGGGCTGGGAAGCCAGTGGGATGGCGGGCACAAGGCCTCAAGGGGCCTTGGGAAGGGCCAAGCCCTCCAAACCGAACCTTGCCCTGGCCTCTTCCTTCATCGATTGTCGCGAGGAATCCTATTCCCCTCTCACGGGAGAACTAAGTCGTCCCCAAACTCACCCTCTACCGACTGTTCGCTCCTCAAAGTAACGGCGACGCTACACGGCCTCTACCGTCCCAAGAAAAGAGCGCGCGACCGCCGGAAACGCAACGACGGAGCTCGGTGCCTCCCCACGGGCACAAAGTGGCATTCTTGATTGGTCACCTGAACTGCCAATCAAGATTCTTCTTCAGAGGCGGAATCAGTTTGCCGCCATTTCTACGATCCTATTGGCTGCCGAATGCGAAAGGCTTGGGTTCGTGTGAACGACGGATGGGGACAAAGAGCGAGGCTTTGTACCTAATGCGCATGCGCTGGTTTCGTCCGCTAGAAACCCAAAGGGAAGGGGGAGAAGGGGGATGGAGGCTCAGAAGGCGAAACGTAAACCAGCTAATAGAAAGACTGGAGGACCAAATGATTGCGAGGAGGGAGAGGGAGAAAAGGAGGAGAGAGGAAAATGGAAAGAGAGAGAGAAGGGAAGGAAATGTGCGCGTAGGCGTGCTCTGAGGATTTCTGCACTGCGCCTGTGCAAGAAGCCAGAGCAACAATGTCGTATTCAGTAGTAGATCTAGTCTTTTCCTGCAGAAAAAAGGCCCCGCCATGTTGCTTTTTCACTCTTCCTCATTAGGGCTTGCACTCTGATACTCCATACTTAATCAGATATTTAGAGCACTCCTGGTGCGACGTCTGCTCATGAAGCCCACCTGAAATAATCACTATGGTTATGCAAAGAGCTGCGGGAGGGGAGGGAAGTTGATACCTTATTCTCTGTGATTACACAGAATTGTAGCCAGGTACTCATTTCCATGGTAACCAGGAAAACCAGCAGTCCAAACATCACTATTGTTCCTAAGATTTACAGAGATTCAACAAATGTCATCATTACCATGGATACATTATAGACCTCTAGATTCTAGATTCTGTAGGGCAATGTTTCCCAAACTTCTCTCATGATGAGAATCACCTGGTGGAGTTGTTAAAATACAGATTCCTGAATCCCAACTAAGAAGTGCTAAACTAGAATTTTTGGGAACATATAGGTAAAATTGTATACTTAACAACATACAGGTAAAATTGTGTACTTAACAACATACAGGTAAAATTGTGTACTGAACAACATACAGGTAAAATTGTGTGCTTAACAACATACAGGTAAAATTGTGTACTGAACAACATACAGGTAAAATTGTGTACTTAACAACATACAGGTAAAATTGTGTACTTAACTGTTAAGTATACAATTTTACCTATATGTTGTTAAGTACACAATTTTACCTATATGTTCCCAAAAATTCTAGTTTAGCACTTCTTAGTTGGGATTCAGGAATCTGTATTTTAACAACTCCACCAGGTGATTCTCATCATGAGAGAAGTTTTGGAAACACTGCAGGACAACAATCAGGTAATCGCTTTTATTTTTCAGTAACGCCTAACTAGCTCTAGCCCTGTGGTGAATCAAGGCTACAAGGCTCAACTGATAGCTCCTTGTAATTATTCCTACTAATTAACAAATTCACACTCAGGTTTTCAGGGTGTCCCAACTGGCTCCACCTTATGTGGGGACACAGAGAATAAGACCTGCACTGTCCAATAGAGGTTTCTGCAATGATATAAATGTTCTGTATCTACTCTGTTCAGTACAGTAGCTACTGGCTATATGTGACTGACCATTGAGGGCTAGTGCAACTGAGGAACTGAATTGTTAATTCTATTTTGTTGCCAGAGGATATTTTTTTCCATTGATTTTCAAAGAGTGGAAGGGAGGGAGGGGGGAAGGAAGAGAAAGAGAGAGAATGAGAGAAACATCAATGTGAGAAACATCAATGTGAGAGAGACACATTCAATAGTTTGCCTCCTGAATGCACCCTGACCAGGGCCAGAGATTGAACCTGCAACCCAGGCATGTGACCTAGACCGGGTAATTGAACCTGAGACCCTTAGGTTCAAGGACTGATGCTCTAACCACTGCTCAGTGGCAATTCTATTTTAATTAGCTAAAATTTAGTCACATGTAGCTAGTGACTACCATATTGGGTGTATCTGGACCAATTTTCCCAAACTTTTTAAGAATTAGCAGCTCTGAGACCGGTTTGGCTCAGTGGATAGAGTGTTGGTCTGCAGACTGGAAGGTCCCAGGCTCGATTCCGGTCAAGGGCATGTACATTGGTTGCAGGCACATCCCCGATGGGGGGGCGTGCAGGAGGCAGCTGGTCGATGTTTCTCTCTCATCAATGTTTCTAGCTCTTTATCCCTCTCCTTTCCGCTCTGAAAAAAAAAAAAAAATCAGTAAAATATATTTTAAAAAGATTAGCAGCTCTATTATGAAAAAAGATATTTTATGTCTATCTTTTCTAAAAAAGACATTTTTTTCCCTGCTTGTGGGAATAAAAGTCAAACAATACTCAACAGTATAAAGAGAAAAGTCTCTTTCTCTACTCATTCCAATGGTTACAATTATCACCACTTTCTTGCATTTCTATTTTCTGTGTTTGTACTGTCCTGGTCAAACAAAAATGTTATACATTTTTATATATATGTTTCTGAGTCATGATCTCACTAAAAAATACTTTAGCTATCTTTCTATATAAATATAGAAAGATGAATGAGGACATTTTAATATTAAGTATCACATGATGGTTTTCAGTATCTGTTGTGGGGGAAAATTATTTTAAAGGTATTATACAATAGTACATTCATGTATCTCCTCAAGGCAATCACAACATAAGCAGAGAAATCCTATCTAATAAAAGAGTAATATGCAAATTAAGCATCACTCAGCTACACCCACCAGCTACTCCCACCAGCCACATCCACCAGCCAATCAGAGTATTCAAATTAACCCCAACCAAGATGGCTGTGGCGACAGAGAGCAGGAGAAAGGCTTGGGTTTCTCTGACAATGAAAGAAGCCAAGCTTTCTGCCTGCCCTAGCAGGCCTAAGCCTCCATTCAAGGCTACAAAGTTTCAATTATAGATGATAAACAAATCCAAACAGAAATGGTGGCAGACACAAGCAAGCAGGGGGCTTGGCTCTGGTCCTGGCTACAAAGTTTCAATTGTAGAAGGATACTAGGGCCTCCACTTGGGTTGCTGGGGAGCGTGGACGGCCTGCAAACTACCACAGGCCTCCTGCCCAGGCCACCCCACGCCCCAAGGGAAACCCCACCCTGACCTGGGACACCCTTCAGGGCAAACCAACTGGCTCCCACCTGTGCACCAGGCCTCTCTCCTAAATAATAATAGAGTAATATGCAGATTGACCTTCACTCCAACACATAAGATGGTTGTCCCCATGTGGTCAAAGATCCTGCCCCCATGTGGACACAAGATGGCCATCACAAGATGGCCAGCAAGGGAGGGCAGTTAGGGGTGACTAGGCCAGCAGAGGAGGCAAACAGGCTGGCATGGGAGTGGTTAGGAGCAATCAGGAAGGCAGACAGGTGAGCAGTTGGGAACCAGCAGTCCTGGATTGTGAGAGGGATCCCAGATTGGAAAGGGTGCAGGCTGGGCTGAGGGAGACCACCACCCCTTCCCCCCGTGTATGAATTTTGTGCACCGGGCCTGTAGTAGAAAATAAATAAATCTCAGATACCAGGGTCTCCACTTGGGTTGCCAGGGGGTGTGGCCAGCCTGCAAACCACCACAGGCTCCTTGCCCAGACTGCCTCACACCAAGAGAAACCCCACCCTGGTCAAACCACCTGGCCCCCACCCGTGCACCAGGCCTCTATCCTATCTAATAAAAGAGTAATATGCAAATTGACCATCACTCCAACACACAAGATGGCTGCCCCCATGTGGTCAAAGATCCTGCCCCCATGTGGGCACAAGATGGCCACCACAAGATGTCCAGCCAGGGAGAGACCAGGCCTGCAAGGGAGGGCAGTTGGGGGTGATCAAGCCTGCAGGGGAGGGAAGTTAGCGGTGACCAGGCCAGCAGAGGAGGGAAGTTGGAGGTGACCGGGCCTGCAGGGAAGGGCAGTTGGGGAGGACCTAGACCTGCAGGGGAGAGCAGTTGGGGGGGACCAGGCCTACAGGGGAGGGCAGTTAGGGGCAAACAGGCTGGCAGGGGAGCAGTTAGGCATTAATCAGGCTGGCAGGGGAGTGGTTAGGGGGTGATCAGGCTGGCAGGCAGAAGCAGTTAGAGGCAATCAGGAAGGCAGGCAGGCGAGCATTTGGGAGCCAGCAGTCCTGAATTGTGAGAGGAATGTCCAACTGCCTGTTTAGGCCCTATCCTATTGGGATTGGGCCTAAATGAGCAAACATCCCTGGAGGGGCCCCAGATTGGAGAGGGTGCAGGCTAGGCTAAGGGTCACCCCCGCCCACATGCATGAATTTCGTGCACCGTGCCTCTAGTGTTAATAAAAACAATTAATTTCAGTACTGTCAGCAAATAAAATAACATTAGAATATTAGAGGTAAACTGGTAAATTAAAGGAAGCCTGGTTGTGCTTGAGTGGATCAGGATAGAGAACCTTTGAATTTGGTCTTAACTAAGAGGCAGAATGGCTGGTTTTAGGTAATTTGTCATGGCTGAAGAGAAGTGGAAGGCTAAGTAATTGGAAATTAGATAGTCAGGTATGGGCCAAATAATCAAGGACCTGTGCCATGCTTAGAAGTTTGTACTTTAATCTGGGGAGAATGGGGAGACAGTGAAGGTTTTTTTTTTTTTTTTTAAATAACTTATGTTGAGTTTTCTGGTTATAAAAGTAATAGTATATACTTATTGAGGAAAGAACTTGAAATGCACGTAAGTATAAAAAATCATCATAATCCCACCTTGTAGAAATAACTTAACATTTTGGTATATTTTCTTCCTGACTATATAACTTACATATACATTTGTGGTTGTATGGGTGTGTGTGGGGGGGGGGCGGGAATTTGGATTCATATATGTGTGTGTATATATATATGTGTGTGTGTGTGTGTATAGATATAGATATAGATATAGATATAGATATAGATATAGATATAGATATATAGATACAGATAGACACACAGACTAAAAGACAGAGATAAAGAGATTACAATTTTCCCATGTATGATAGGTTTGAACTTCAGGAAAATCACTGTATTCATGCCCTAAGGTAGGGGTGTCGAACTCAATCAGAGAAGGGGCCAAAATCTAAAATCCAGCCTAAATCGCGGGCCGAATGGTTTACTGAACAGTCATA